CGCGCCTCCCTCCCGCACCTCCCCACCCCTGGTGTTAGGCCTCTCCCCCCACCAAGGACTCAATTCACGTGAAGAGGCCACACGTTTTTCCCAGTAATGAGCTCCAGCCCAGCTGTACAAAGATGCGTGCTGCGCAGAATGCTCTGCCCGGATTCATTACACCCATTATGAAAGAAGGGGATGGCCGGGGGGTTCACATATTTGCACAAACAATAAGTACCGTCTTCCTTGTCTTGGCAAACAAGAGCTCCAAGAGGCCTCCACATCCTCCATCTCTTCAAGTGATGGCTTCATTGTTTCGCCACGATAATTTCATTATTCAGTTTGAATACGTTTGTATGTTGCTAAGCCACACATAGCAACATGTATCTTCTTGTATCCACGGCCCGATCTTGCTGTGATCAATATTAAGTAATTATGAAACTCTCACAATGCCACATTAAGTAAGATTTATTTTAAAATAGTAAGAAAATTATAAATCTTTGGGATCCAAAGCCAGTAAGACACCTGATGCAGTTGGAGAAATGCATGCCCCACACAGGTACGGAGCACCGGCCGTGGGATCCACCACTGCCTGTACGCAGCGCGGACCTTCCCCCTTACGGGCAGAGGGAACCTCATGCTCTGACAGAAGGAAATGTCGCCTGTGCAAACTCAATACTCTCTGCTGCAGTAGCATTGCTGTTTTCATTTAATCCTCCTCCTTCGTTACCCTCGGACCTCGTGGCGCGTTCTGGTGGTGCACGCTCTGTGCTGGTTGTTGAGGATACAGAAATGGGTTCTCCCTGCTGCCCGGTGCCTCGCGTGGAAGCCCCTTTGGCTCCCTGCTGTAAACGCCGCTGCTTCGGCGGCCCCGTGACGGTGCAGCAGAGCTGCGAGATGGCAGAGCCGCCCCAGCGAAAGGCAGGGCTGGCCGCGTCGGGGCAGCTGCCTCCTCCCCTGCTCCGTCAGGCGGGGCGTTCGGGCTATGCTTTCCCTCTGGGGAGTGCACCGCCGGGACCCCGCTGTCCCCCCAGGGACACCTGCCCTCTGCCCCCTGCCTGTGCACAACTAAGGCCTTCTTCCTTTTGGTTTAGGTTTCTGAGAGGAAGTTTCTGGGTGACTTATCCACAACGCCAGGGCTCTTCAAACAGCCGGGAGGACGGCAGGTCGGAGCAATTGACTTCCACGTGGAGGGTCATCCCATCCAAGGCAGAACTGTTAACCTTGTGCTTCTTCCTACCAGCATGCGCGGACAAAACTAAGGCAAGACAGGGTAGCGCGTGGTCCCACAGGGCCGCTGGACTTTGTTTTCTAGCAAAGACTACCTTGCTGCTCCCCAGGGGCATGCAAACACTCATCACGACTCCCGCACGTCTGGCGTGGCTGGCTGTCGGGGACGGCATGGGTGCCCTCGGTGCCCGTGGCTCCGGCGGCAGCAGCGCCGGGGCTGCACTCCAGCCTCTGCTAGGACGGCCCCCCTGGTGCCGGCCACCCTGGTGCGGTGGAGCTCCGCTGCCAGAGCCCCGAGGTACCGCTGGCAGCGCTGTGTTGTATTTCTCTGTTGTTGCCGGCTGAGCTTGTTTCACTCAGAGGACTTGGTGATATGGGCAAAAGTGCAGTTTTGCCTGTAGCAACAGTGTCCAGGCGGTGCCTTCGTGGTGCGCCCGTGCAGGCTGAGTAGCCTGGCTTTCCTAGGCTCCACCGCCGGGCAGGGGCAGGGTAGGACACGGCGCACATAGGAAGCACATGCACCGAGGAAGACAGTGGCTGGGGTGGGGGGTTTTTTTTAACAGCTGGTTTTAATAGCATATTTTACTGTATTTATGATGAAACTCTCACTGCTCCTGCCTGGGCTTCCCAGCTGGTTGGTGTAGCTCTCCTCTACAGCTGGGGTTTTCTCTTGCTCTCTGTCCTTTGCATCAGACTGTTCCTACTGTTATTTTCCTAGTGTTTAGAGCACATAAAATGTGTTGGGTTCTTTGCTGATTGTGATGACAGTAAATGTTGATTTTTAAAGGCAACCCCCTCTTCTTGTACTTTATCCACGCGAACGGTCACGTGCTCTAGCATTGCACTGTTTAGCAGCTTTACACAGTGGAGGACAATTTAGCTACGCTGCATGGGATCAGGGCGCTTTATTACGCTGCATGCAGTCTCTCGTGCTGCGTTGCGTTCCCTGTTCCGGAGCGCTGCGTGTGCTGGTTAGCGTGTACTTACACTGCTGTTAGAAACTGCAGCCGCAGAGCAGCTCTGTGTCGGTGGGAAGAGCCAGGTCTGAGCACACAACTATTATTTCTATTATAGGAGGCGACCAACCAGTGCAGCATCTCCAGCTGCTGGGAGTCCAGGACAGCCAGAACGCAGGGTGCTTCCAAGCAGTTAAATTTTACAGACAGGCCATTACACCTATTGTAAAGCTTTGTGCTTTGCTATGATTTTGCTCCCCACCCCTTGGTATATGGCATACTAGGGGCTCTTGCCCAAAGCGACAGCCAAGAGCTACGTGGAAAATCCTGCGATAATTGTCCCCTAAATGCCGTCATTCTTGAGCTCACTTGGAAAACACACTCAGAGTCGCTATGGCAATTCACAGCAGCGCTTTGAGCCAGATCCTGAGTCACCGATGCCTTGAATCAAATTCCAGCACTGATCCCCCTCGTACTGGTACCTGCGTCCTGGTCCCGACCAGCGCCAGGCGTGCCCCTGGCGCGTGCCGGGGAGCGGCCAAAAAAAAAGAGGGGGGCAGGCGTTGGCTGCCGCTGGATGAGAGGCCGCGACTGCTCCCCAGGCGCCGGGGCCGGCGAGTTCCAGTGGGGAAGCCGGGCAGGGCCAGTGAGCCCGTGCCGAGGCAAGCGGAGAGGTGTGGTACCATAAGGGAGGGTTAGAAACACAGTCAAAAAAGACAATGTCTGCGTTTTTAAATGAACTGCAAAATTTATTACAGTGGTTTGCTCCTGACAAGGAAGTTAATAACCTCCTGCCTGGGAAGGAAGGGTGGGGAGTGGAGGAGAGGGAGGAGAGGGATGAGAGAGGGAGAGAGACACTTAAGGACACTTTTCATTTTCTGAAAATAAAATGTCTTTTACCTCCTGAACCATTTTCCCCAGTTCTTTAAGTTCACAAAAAGAAGGTGAAACTGAACCACAGAATTCAGGAGAAAAATGCACAAACGTTGAAAAGCAGAAACAAACATGCTCTTCTGCATCTAACAAGCTTCCATTAAATGAGCGGCTCTGAGTACAAGGGTCTGCAGCAACGGCACGCGCCTGCAGCGCGAGAGCTTCTCAAGGCACCAGCTCTGCGCAGAGCCGCGGCGTACAGCAGTCCACTCTAAACAAGGAACAAACGCCTGCAATGGAAAATATACCTGAACCAAACTGAGGAGCGTTTTAGCCAGTAGCACTGAAGGAGCTACAGAAGAGCTGGTGGAGGCCTCGCCATTGCGGGCCGTGTGCTGCCCCGGCGGGGAGGCGGCGCATGGGGTGGTAGGAAAGGCGAGTATGGCTGAGAATGAGAGAAAATAGCAGCAAGAGTCTGGCACTTCCCGGCTCTGGGGGCTGGAGCCCCCCAGCACTGCCAGGGAGCGTCTGTGAGCTCCCGTCCCTCGACGGGAGAGGAACCAACATCTGCGTGTGGCTTCAACATCCAACATTTGCTGTCACCGAGGGACCAAGGTGATGCAGGAGAGGCTGGGCAGGAAGGCAGCAGGAAAGGGGTATGGATGCATGGCTTGGGCCTTGCATAAATCACAGGATACCTCTTATTCCTCCTTACCAAGTGCTTACCCAGGTGGATGCAGAAGGAACATTACAGCTGCATCCCAAACCCTCTGGCGCGTGGCTGACCTGGCAGCTGCTTCGGGCTACTTGCACCCCGGACCCTGCTGCTGCTACCGCTCTTGGCGCCTGCAGCGTGGAAGGCCTGACCGTGCCACGTCCCGGCTGGCGAGCTGCCGTACCAGCACCCCCGGGGCCG